CTAACAAAGTATTATCATATTTCAAATAATGCTCTCCATTTTTAGATTTATCCTTAAAGGTTTTAAATTCATTTTCCAATTCAATGTAGGATAAAAGGTTTTAAATTCTTTTTCCAATTCAATGTAGGATAATTTTAATATCTCATTTTTTTTATTCAAATCGATAAATTCATCAAATAAAATCATGTGGTTGTTACTAATCTAAGTGTGATCTTTCATAAGGATTTCATACTCTTTTAACTCTATGAAATCTAAATTTAAGCTAGCATGAATTGTCATGAGTTTTCTATATGCGATATGAATTCTTTCAGAAACTTCTAATAATTCATTCTAACTTAAGTCACTTACCTCCTCTTGATCTGATTAATTAAGATTATTAGCCATTACGAACAAATTGGTGACTTCTTCTTCCTTTTTTTTATGAATATGAAGCTAAGTCTACCTAAAAAGTTCATTGAAATTTCTTCTTGCCCTTCTTCACATTTGTTTTATCCTCCACCTTATCCTTGCTTGAAGTGACTTTGAGATTAGGGCAATCTTATTTGACATGTCTAGGTTTCTTGCATTCATAACAAATAACATCATTAGAAATCTTAACCTTCTTGTGGAACTTACCATTATTCCACTGTTGGCGTCTCCTTTGCTTCCTCTTTAGAAAACTCCTAAATAGCCTGGTCATCAAAGAAATATCATCCTCAAGTTATGATTTATCACTCTCTAAGTCATCAACTTTCAAAGCTATATTATTTTCATTTTGCTTTTATCCTCTATCAATCTATCTTTGACTAACTCCTTGCTAGTAAATAATTAGTGATCCAAGAAGATTGTCAATTGACTAAACATTTAAATCCTTAAACTCTATAATAGCAGTTATTTTAGCATCACAAGTTATAGACAAACAACAAAGTATTTTATTAACCATTTTAGCATTTGTAAGTTCCATACGTAAAGCATGCAAAGACGTGACTATCTTAGTGAAACATGTGTATATGTTAGATATAGATTCATTTGGTTTCATTTGAAACAATTGATAATCATGTTATAAGATAATTAACATGGACTATGTCACTTCATTAGTTCCTTCATATATAATACAGGGTCTATCCCATATTTTTTTTCCACTTTTGCAAGTAGAAAAACACATGAAATCTTCTGATTTAAGTGTAAAAAAGAATTTATTTAAAAATTTTGCATTTAATTATGCTAGGTCTCATTCTTCTACATTCCAATCAGCAAAGGGTGTTTCAACTCTGATGCCATCTACAAGTCTAGTTGTCCTAGTATACCCTTCCTGAATAAAAATCCACATGCGATAGTCAAGTGATTGAAGAAAAGTAGACATACGTGTTTTTAGAAAATTGAAAGGGATATTATCAAATAATGGAGGTTTAGTGATCGAATACCATTTAGATGTGTTACAATTTCCTAAAGTAGCCTTTATCATTTTCAAAAGTAAAGTTTTGAAACAAAGCTCTGATATCACTTGTAAAGTTAGGATATGTTCTTAAATCTATTCAAATGTCCCAAGGCTAACCAAGAGAAGGGTAAATTGGTAATTTTAAAAATTCCAACTAGAATTTTAATAGAAAACCAAATTATAATTCTATCAATTTAATTTTTACTTTTAAAACAAGCTTTTTAACCACAATATAAAATGCATAAAAATAAAATGTTAGAAAATAAAAATGAACACAAGGATTTATAGTGTTTTGTTCCAACATGACATACGTCCACTCCCTGAAGACTCCCTCTTCAGGCATTACACTATTACCAGAGTGACTCTCCTTTTACCCCCAAAGCAAGGTGGAGAAGCCTTCACAATTTTCTTCTCTTCCACTAATTCCCGGTACGGCAGAGTATCGTCATCCTTTCACACCTCCAAATTTTGACAGAGTACCGTCATCCATTCATATCCTGCAAGTGTTAGCAGAGTATCATCGTCCTTTCACATCCTCCAAGAGTTGACAGAGTGCCGGATGTTCTTCCAAGATCTTCTCTCAAGCAACTAGAAAGAAGAACGGAAGCGTAGTAACCAAAATCCAAAAGAGATTCTTACATTTGAGTAACCTTGTGAACAATTCACACTCCACTTGCAAGAGCTCTCTCTCAAACATTCTTCCTAAACACTCATTCACTTACTCTCAAAGAAATCATGAAGAACATACTTTTTTAAAACAATTTCTAAGGACTAATTATTTTTTTTTTTTTTTGAGAAAAGCATAATCTGCATTAAAAAGGAACGCAAGCAAAAAAAAACAACAACTACAAAGTAGATTCCTCCTTCATTATATTGATAAATGAAGGAGGAACCTCATCCAAAGTTAAGTCTTCCCAAATAAAACTACCAACAATAGCATAGCTAGCACACAAATCTGCTAGCTTATTGCTATCCCTCTTAATACATTTAAAAATAACATTATTGAACTCTTGAAAAAATTCAAAGTTTTCCATACCTTTGCTCCTTTGGTTTAATGCTTTATGAATAACTTTGATCACATTTGAGTTGTCACTCTCAATGATTGCTCCTTTGTATTTGAACATCCAATCCTTAGTCACATGTTTTAAAGATTTAATAGCAAGCATTTCCAATTGGTTTATGTCCCAATGAGTATAAGATTTACCAAAAGCCAATAAGAATCTCCCTTTGTAATCTCTTATAACACCCCCAACTCCAGCTTTGTATGAAGAGCATAGTGCAGCATCTACGTTGATCTTCAACCAATCGGGTGGTGGGGGATGCCAAGCATTAGACAGCCAAAAAGGCTGATTAACATCCCCATTTTCCGGAATTGGTTCAAAAATCTTCATAGTGAATGACGACATGCTAATAGCACTGGTAGCTATGTAATTAGCACTTTCGGCAATTCCATCATGCACCAATTTGTTTCTAGCTTTCCAAGAAAGATAAACTACATTATAATAAAGGTTAATCAACATACCATTAACCTTGGATGTAGTTTCAAACCAGTTGCAACATCCTTCATAACTATCAAACATTGGAATTTGAAACCCCCAATCATTAAGAAGTAAAATGACCTTTCTTAACTTTAAGCATTAAGTCAGAATGTGTTCGATATCTTCATTACCAGAGGAACATCTGGGGCACTTATCATCTTCCAGAAATCTTCTATATTTAAGGAATTGAAATGTAGGCAATGCATTTTTGAAAAGTCTGTAGCAGAAAACCTGCACCTTCGGTGTAAGCATAGCCTTCTTGATCCAAACAGTCCACCTGATAGTTTGAAGGTTCCGAAACCATGATTCTGTGATCAACTTAGGAATAGAATTTCCAGAATTCTGATAGATGAGCTCCATTTCATCATCCCTCTGATCTTCTTTTATCTTGATTTGAAGAATCAACAGAATCAAATCCGTACCAAACAAATTTTCAAGTTCTTCAATTTTCCATCTTCCATCTTCAATGAATCTGCTTAAACTGACATCTCCTTCTACTTGTGGCACAACAAAGGTTGGCCATTTATTAATACTTCTATCAAGAATCCAGATGTCTTTGAACACATCAATTTTAGAGCCATCAGCAATACTCCATTTGATCAGGGGATTTAAAGCTCTTCCACCGTCACATAAAATTTTCCAGGATGAAGAAGAGTTTTTTTTAACATCGTCAATACCAGGTTTCATTCCATATTTAGTATCTAAAACTTTTTTTAAAAGAGAATTACTATTAGAAAGATACCTCCATGTAATTCTTGCTCTAAGAGGAGCCACTTTTGAAGAAGTAGTGAACAAGCCCCCACCACCAATGTTTTTTGGTTTGAAAAGTTCCTCCAAGCTTATGTAATGCAAGCCCATTTTTCCGCCAGATTTGTTCCATAAAAAACTTCTGCACAGCTTTTCAACTTCTTTCAAAATTCTGGAAGGAATTAAAGAATGAGTGCTGAAGAAATTTGGAATTGCAAGGATGACTGATTTAACTAGAGCAATTCTCCCAATTAGTGATAACACCTTGCTCCCCCAAGTATTAAGTCTCTTGAGAGTTCTTTCAATGATAAAGTAATAATCATTTGCTACTAATCTTCTCAAGGCTATTTTTAATCCCAAATAGAAAAACTCCTTAACTGGTTTGAAGCTCACAGCCTTAGAGATGCTTTTCTTTCTTCTTCTATTCACATGTTTTCCAAAAATCATTACAGATTTTTCATTATTAATGGATTGACCAGTCCATTTGCAGTAATTGGAAAGAACAATCTTGACTTCACATGCGGCTTTCTTTGATGCCTCCGAAAAAATTAGGATGTCATCTGCATATAGCAAATGGAAAATACGAAAACCATCCTTACTAGAGTTAATGCCGACTGATGACTGAGCAAATGCATTGGAAAGTAATTGAGAACAAAGAATGAATAGCAGTGGCGACAATGGGCATCCCTGACGAAATCCACTATCAGCTATTATCCATTCTGTAAGTTTCCTGTTTATGATTATAGAAAATCTAGGATTCAAAATACATTCCATTATCAACTTTGAAAACTTGGGCGGGGATTCAAAGTATTCCAAAATTTTCGTTAGAGTAGTCCAACTCATTGAGTCATAAGCTTGTTCCATGTATATTTTGTAAGACACCATACCTTTGGAAGACTTAGAAAATCTGAATTTGTGAAATAATTCTTGGGCTATCAGAAGGTGATCGGATATAGATCTTCCTTTTATGAATGCAGCTTGCTCATCCGATATTAGTGGAGGAATTACTTGAATCAATCTATTCAAGATGATTTTTGCAGCCACCTTGTATACAGAATTGCACAAACTAATAGGTCTGTAGTTTGAAGGCAGCATCAAATTGGAAACTTTAGGAATGAGAACTATCATAGTATCCTTCCAATCCTTGTCCATTTCCCCTTGAGTTAGGAAATGATTTAAAGCATTAATGAAATCATTTTGAATAATTTTCCAATAGCTTTTTATAAAAGTATAATTGATACCATCACTTCCAGGTGCAATATTTCTTCCCAGATGATGAATAACAGCTTCAATTTCTTTTACAGAAAAGTCTCTGGAAAGCAACCCTTTGTCTTCATTACTAAAACCATCCCAAGTTTCGGCCAGCCATCAGTATTGCATATCCGCTTTTTCCATTTTGAATTAAAGAAGTGCCAAATTACCTCTTCTATTTGATTAGAATCTTCAACCACCGTCCCCTCTTCATTTTTAATCTTGATGATTCTGTTTGAGCTTCTTCTACCATTAGCAAAGGAATGATAAAACCTTGTATTTCCATCACCATCAGCTAGCCATTTTGATTTTGCCCTTTGCTTCCACCAGCCATTCAGACGAGCTAAAGTGCTATTTAATTCATCAGTTTTAGCTTTTAATACCCAGCATTCTTCATCAGTGAGCCAGCCTTTATCAGATTCTGATATCTGTATTTTATTTATTTCCTCCATTAGACAATCTTTGAGCAAATTCAGATCTCTCAATTTAGCTTTACTCCAATAAAAAAGAGACTTAAGGGATCTCCTGAACTTGGCATTCATAATTTGAGATGGATTGCCTGAGTAATTTTTATTCCATTCCTTTTTAACCACATAGAAAGAAGCCTGGTATGAGGCCCAAATATCTTCAAATTTCAAACTTCTTTTAATTGGAGCAACATTAGAGCTCATGTGAAGCAAAATAGGGCTGTGATCGGAAGAGATTCTAGCAAGATGTCTCAGCACCAAGTTAGTAGAAAAATTCATAGCCTTAGAGTTTAGGAAGCACCTGTCAAGCCTTTCCAATATCCGAGCTCCTCCAATTTTGTTGTTACACCAAGTGAACTGGCCCAAGAAAACCCACCTCATGATAATCTATTATAGTGATAAAAGCCTCCATTTTTTTGGACCTTGAGAGAAACGAAACATTCTCCCACCTCTTTTGTCTTCCATAGAAAGTGAGACAGTTGAATCTCTCTCCTATTACATTGGATACTCTACAACAGAGTACATTTCCAATACTTCCCATAGCTCCCTTCTTTTGATCAAGTCTTTGCTTCCATATACAGAAGCAACTCTCCATTTTTCCTTGCCATTGATGCTTTAAGTTCACCAATGATGCATTGAGAAGTAGAACCAATCAATGAGAAATATGCTAAACCAGAATTCCATAATACAATTATCCCTCCAGAGAGACCAACCGAGGGTACCATAACATTCTCCAATCTTCACCCATCAACTTTTTAACTTCATCATCATTGAAAGAAGAGATTCTAGTTTCCAATAAAGCTAAAAAAACTGCATTATACATTTTTACAAACTCCCTAATGTATAGAGAAGCCCCTTTTTTTCTGGCTCCTTTACTGTTCCAGAAGGCTAATGAGTTCATGGTTGAAGACACGTGGGAGATGACCCCACTCTGTTCTTCGCTTCAATATCAATTTTTCTGCTTCTTGTACTTTTGTTAATAGGCCCAAGATCTCTTAATTGCTTAGACTTCTTCTTCTTGACCAAACTTGAATCCTCTCCAATGTTTGATTGAATAAGAACATCTTCTTTTATCAGATTTTCAGTAATTTCATTGTGAGACAACTTTTTATCTGTGTAGTTGGCTTCAGCTTCTTGAATTATTTCTCCATCTTCTAGAGGTTCACTAAGAACATCAAATTTGTTCTTAATAAATGGAAGAGAACAGTTATTAGAACAGTTATCATGATTGGGAGCTTCGGCTGGGGATGAGATACCCGATTTATCACTGATAGTTGTACAACCATTTTCTATAGTTGTGCCCAAACTATGAGTTCCATTCAACCTATCTCCGGTAGCTATTTTGTTGGTTGAATCAGATTTCCTCCACACCTTTTTCTCCAAAGGTTTAAGATTAACTTCCTTAGAAAAACTTACAGTTTTCTTCCTTCCGCGATTAACAACCATCCAAGGTCCATATTTTGGATCACCAGCCATTTCCTCTTCATTTGCCTTGTCTGGTAATGAATTAGCTACATCTGCAACTTCCACAGCATTATGTATTTCTTTAACTTTTGGAGCTAAATTCCCTTCTCTGCATACTTCTTGAACATGCCCAATTAAACCACACTTGAAGCAAAAGTTTGGAAGCCGTTCATATTCTATTTTTTGGAAGAACTTTCCAGATGATCCTTCAACACATACACCAACTAATAGCTTCATATCAAGTCTGATTCAAACACATACTCTTCCAAATTCCCTCCTCCCCCATTGGAACATGTTTCCATCTATCAAAATTGGTTTTCCAATCATAGAAGAAATTCTGCATATGTTTATGTTATCCCAACATTGCAAAAGGAGATTTGGAAGTCTTATCCATATAGGAGATGTTGAGAACTATTTATATAAAATACATGAAAAACCATCAAAAAATTTGAAATTTTTAATTTTGAGCTTACAAGATCATACAGTACAATTGATGTTCGTCCCTGGTGAATAATTCAAAATTGACTGGTACGATCATGTACAAAATGTTTTTCAGACAAGCATATCATAACATACGATATGTATATCGTACAATATGAATAGTTATAAAAAAATTCTCATTTGTTTGGATGAAAATGTTCACAACAATTTTGTACTCTAGACATCATTAGTATGAAATACAGATCATCTCAGACAAACAGTTCAAAAAATTTACATGTTCATCTAGATGAAAATGTTTCCCACATTTTCGTGCTCTGGACGTCTTCTTTACTAAATCTATATCATCCCGAGCAAACAGTTCAAAAAATTTACAAGTTCGTCTGGACAAAAATGTTCCCCACATTTTCGTATTTTGGACGTCGTCTGTATGAAGATAACTTTGTACAGTACGAAAAGTATTTAGAAAATTTTTTCGCCCACTTTTAATTTACTACTTGTTGGAGGAAATATACTAACCAAATTATCCCATACGGCCGCCACCCGACTAGACATACAAATAGTATGATTAGTTTAAAAATTTACAAATTTTAAACGCTCCCCTAGTGTGTATGTGTATAGTTTCTCAATTACATTCAAATTCTCTCATACTCGATAAATTTAAAAATTACATACTCTATTTATAATAAACCCTAATCTTTTCTCCCTTGAAGTCTTCAACAGTCTAGAGTATGATTTCTATAAAATATTAGTACCCACAAATAACAAAAAAAATATATCCTATATAAGTTAGGAGAAATTAATAATTAAAATAATAATATTTAGAATAATCAAAAATACACATGTTGCAAAAATCTCAACAATTAAAAAACTAAATTACAACAATCTCAATAATTTTTTCATAAACCTAGTATAAATTTTAGAAATTAACTCACTAGGTTTCATGCAAAAACATTTGTAGTCATGAAGTAAAATATTTAACCTAGATTGCTTAACTTCACTTGTGTCTTCATAAGTAAAGCATAATATATCCCAAATTTCTTTACCAATTTCACATGTTGAAACATGCATGTAATATTTAGATTTTAGTACATAAGAAAAATAGTTTAAATATTTTGCATTAAGTTGTACTAAATCTCTTTCATGAAAAGTTCATGGAGAAAAAGGAAGTTCAGTTTTTATGCCATTAACTTCACGTGTTGGTGTAGATAACCTTCATTTACAAGCATCCACATATTATAATCTATAGATTACAAAAAGGTGGGCATGCAAGTTTTCCAAAAATAAAATTGTATTTTATCAATTAAGGATGGTCGAGTAATAGAATACCCTTCCACCATATTCTAGTTAAAAAAGTTAGTCATGGATCTTTAATTCAAAGTTTTCTATAACTTTATATTTTTAATCTCACTATGATACTACCTGAATGTTTGTTAGGGTTATTAAGCCCTTATGAACCAGCCTGAGGCTAACCAAGAGGGGGAGTGAATTGATATTTTAAAAATTCTTAAACAAACATAAAAATATTTTTTTAAACCTTTTTGAATATTTTAAAACAAACAAGATCAACCCTTGATGCAGAAGCAATTAATAAAATAAATCAGATATTTTAACCATACAATAACTATTAAAAAATAAAGTACAGGAATAAAAATAGAAAAAACACATTTTATTTTTATAGTGGTTCGATCAACCTGACCTACATCCACTCCCTGGAGCCTCCCCTCTAGGTATTGCACTAAAATTATAGTATCTCTCTTTTTGCTCCCACAGCAAGGCGGAGAAGCTCTTAACAAATATTTTTCACCGACTTCAGTGAGGTAGAGAACCTAGACTCCTTTTGTTCCCTCCTAAAGTAGGCACGAAACTCCAATTCCTTTTCCTTCCTCCTGAAGCAGGTAGAGAACCTTGATCTATTACTGATGAAGTTTTACCTAGAACCACCAAGGAACCAAAGATGACGATTGGAGAACATGTATGGAATCCTTGCTTGGAGTAACCTTTGTGAACAACTCACAAACTCCCCCTCATACAATTCCCTCTTTCTCTCCTAAGCTCTCCTTCTCCTTCTCTAAGCTATCTTAGGTCAGGACAACAACAAAAGATTATATTATCAATAATTGAGAGAGCTTAAATAGAAGGCCTTAAAAAATGTTCTAATTTGTAACTTGATATCATAGATCATCCAGGATGCTCGATAGATCATTATATATGATTAGACTAAATCAGTCCTTCCAGCCAGAATGATCTGCATTTCTTGCACGATTAGAACACAATGTTTGCTCTGATCATCATTAGTTAAAAATCCTACATTATTATCTAGCAAATAGTTTGGGACATCCAGGAGATTAATCGAGATGATATAGAAATATAACTAATCATCTAGGATTATATAGTGATCATCCTGTACAATTAGTTTAAAAACAAACTTTATCTTCCAACAAATAGTTCAAGACGTCCAGGAAATTTTAGAAAGAACTAAGGTTTTTCTTACAGATCGTTCGATATGATTATGCAATCATCCCGGATGATATGCTTGATCAATCTATCCTTAATTAATCTCCTAATTACCTAGTCAATTTAGGCATAATTGGTACAAATCATTCAGGACAATCATGATCATCCTGTACGATTAGTGCAAATTTGATAGATTTATAATCTTACATAAATGACTTTGGCGGTTGTATTTATGATTTTAGCATACCATCTAGGATGATGGGAGTATTGTCTAGGATAATTTTATTAATTAGGTTTATATGACCTAGATGCCCTAATTAGGGTTTATATTTTTAACTGATCATCTTGGATGATTTAAAATCATCCTATATGATTTTGTAAAAAATAGAAAAACTCTAACTCACTAAATTTCTCCCCCAGAGTGTGTGTGTGCAAGGTTACTTAGCATTAGGATCCATTATAGTACATTTGACAAAAGAAAAGGTGAAAGATGCATTTGAATAGAAATTACAGATTGACTCAATCCTTGCCTACCTGATCTTAAGCGATTGATGTTCTAAGTGAACTTGTGGACCTGAAAGGTTAGTGAGCTGTGAAAATAAAATAGATATGCAAGAATATCAGTATTTAATAAACAATAATGTTTATTATCATCAAAATAACACTACTTGGGTCTAGATTCGCAACAAGTTGCAATAATCTGCCTCTTTTTTATGATTATAAATATTATTGGTTGTATTTGAAAACTAATTTTATTTTATACTAATCTCCCCCCTCACTAAGAGGATTATATTAAAAAAATAGGGGATTTTTTTAAATTTTTTTATTTAAGAAAAAATAAATTTGAAACTAAAAAATAGATTAACAAATACAAAATTTTAAAAATAAATGATAGAAGAACAAATGCAATTAAATATCTTCTCCCCCTTTTCACATCACCAAGAAGGAGACAGAATACAACACATAAGTTAAATTATATGTGGAAGAAAATAACAACATACAAAAATAAATTAAAATATAAA